GATCTAAATCTACCCTCTCTCAGTTTTAAGCCATCCCCCCTTGTCCTGTCACTCCATACCCTTGTAAAAAGTCCCTCTCCAGCTCTCTTGGAACCCCTTTAAGCACTGAAAGGGATTCTAAGGTCCCCCTGGAGCCTTCTCTTCTCCGGGCTGAACAACTCCAACTCTCTGAGCCTGTCAAAGGATGGTTATAGAGTTTAGCATGGGTCAGCTGAACCCACCAGGGACTGCAGCTACTAAAGAGAAAGAAAACACAATTATTAATTCTCGAAGGCAGACTTAGTGAAGGGAAGATAAGTGGGAAGAGTAAAAAACATTAAATGAAACAAACATTTCAGAGATGAGCAAAACATCATCACAGGTGTGGATACAACACCCACACATGCATACACTCAATACAAATGTTTGGTCTTTCTCTTCCTCTTTCTTGAAAGTCTTGGCTGGTTTGGCTGGTTTGTATCACCAGTGACATGATGTTTAACTACACTTGGCTGCTTCTCTGTTTAGATGAGGCGTTAGGAAGAAATTCTTCCCTGTGCACTTGGTGAGGCCATGGCACAGATTGCCCAGAGAAGCTGTGGCTGCCCCATCCTTGGAAGTGTTCAAGACCAGGTTAGACAGGGATTGGAAGGTGTCCCTGCCCTTGTCCTTCCAACCCAAACCATTCCATAACTCTACAGTCCTTTCCCATTGGATTTTGGCTGAGTGAGCCCCAGACTGGGCTGGTAGTGGATGGAGGCTGGGCTGGCTGCTCTGTGCTCCCCTGGCATGATTTTGCTCCCAGAAAACAACCCCAGTAACCGTGGTTTGGCCACCCCGCAGCACTCAGGGCCATGCCTGTGTGCTTCTGGAATGGTTTTGCACTTGAGTGCCCAAAATCACTTTGTGTGATTTGTACTTTGTACTTGCCAGCCCACAGGAGACCTGGAATAACAACCGTGATGGGCTGCCTTATTGCTTAAATACCCTCATGAATATACTCCAACCTGATCTACAGTTCAAACAAATTCAATAAGGCAGAGCAGGATTTAAAGACATTTTAAATAAATTAACTTCTGGATGGATGTTTATTAAGTTTTATGAAGCCATTTACCAAAACGTAACATTTGTTTCAAAAGGTGCCTGAAATTTTCCCCTTGTGAACTATGGAAATTACTTCTATAATTGAAATGAGAAATAAGGCCCAAATGGAAAGCATTCCTCATTGCTGGAGGCACAGTCCTTATGCCTTTCTCAAAGGAAAAAGAAAGAATTATTTGACTCTCCATGGCTTTTGTTTCCCTTTGCATTGGTGGGGCCTGATGTGGTGCAGTGATGCTGGGTGGGAGGGTGGCTCGGGAGGAGTGAGGATCTCTGCCCAAACTTCCCAGGAGTTTGGCTTTTTCAAGGAGTCAGCCCTGAGCTGGAGAAGTCATGAGCAGAGGGCTTGAACAAGGTCTGGATTTCTGCATAAGCCATGGAGGCTCCGCTGGGAGCACCATGCCCAGCACAGAAACCTCCTGCAGCCAGAAAACAAGGACACTGCCACGTGCTGGGGATTTTCATTGCTGAAGACATGAGCTGCAGCTCCTTAGGCAGCTAACTGAAAAACAAACCTTTTAGCATAGCAGACCACATGAAAGGATCCATAAAATAAATGATTTGTTTTTTTAGTACTTGATCATGTGGGGGCAATGGAGGCTTCTGTTCTTCTCATCTGGATGCAGCACCAAAAAGCCTTCAGAGAGGCAGTGCATTCAAGCTAGGTTTTAGAAGATGAATTTTTCCAGGCATGAATGATTCCAAATATTTAAATTTTATTTTGTTGCTGCTTTCCAAGCAAACTTTGCCTCTACCAGAAATAAAAAAAAAGGGTTGAATGGCTAAAAACTGTGATGATTTTACAGCTCAGCTGAGCTACTTCTCAGCAGAACATTAACCAGGAGCTGCAGGGAGGATGGAGGTGACTGATTTTTTCCTCATTTAGTGTGAGGAGACTTTAATATCGTGGGCAATAACCAAGTATTCTGTTCTGACAAAATTACCTCTGTGTCAGAAAAATGAGTGCCAGGGAGGAAGCAGATCATGCAAAAGATGGGAAGGTAGGAAGGGAAATCTTACTGTTAAGACAGAATAAACCTATTTCTTGTGGCTGTGCCCATCAGCTGAGCAGGAGAGCACAGATCCTTTGTTTTTTCCAGGTCTCAGGAAGGATTTTTTGGGGGCAAACATCACTGATGGGAGTCTCCTTCAAAGCTAGCTAGTCTTTTCCTCCATTTGCTTGCCAGCCTGCAGACACAAGCAGCAGCTGATGTTTGGATGCTGTTTGTGCTGGATGGTGAGTGTGTGCAGGGATAGGACCACTCAGGGCCTTGCTGCAGTGGAGATGCAAAGTCCAGTTCAAGGCCACTGGGATTTCACCAGTTTAAACCCCAACCAGGGTGCCTCTAGTGGCAAGCAGGATGTATGATAAAGGCACACCTGCCACTTCAAGTACAAGCAGTCCAAGCCTTAAATCTGGATATTTATTTCATAGGATCAATGAATAACAAAATAAAATAAAATACCATACAGTACAAAGGCTATATCAGGAATTAACAATTTCATTACACTTTGATCAGTACATACAGTATCAATAATAGCATGTTACACTGAGTGTTTCCCATTGCTACACAAAAGGATTTCTCACCCTCTTCCTTCCCTTTGTCACAGAAAATATTACAAAAGAGACACTGACACACTTTAACATTCATTTTTTCCCCATTGAGCAACAGGCCACAGAAAATAAAGCATATCAACATTTTGTATCTCAGAAGAAAAAAAAAAGGTGCACTTTAAAAAATATTTGCCATAAATACAATATGTGCAGGACTATCAGGTGGCACAGCTGGGGAAGGACTCTGGGTCACAAAACCAGGACACAGCATCATGAAATTTTGGATCGGCAATTTCTGTTTTCATACTAAACGAATCCAGACTGAGAACAGGAGAACTGGTTGAGCTGGAATGTGAAGAACTGGACAGAGCTCTAGCAGATACAGCTTTGGTTAAACAGCTACCAAGCAACACAGCCAGGAGGACACCAGACTGACACTCATGGCATTGCACAGGGAAGCACCAGTGCTCCCATGCCCTGTGGATGTCTGTGCTCCCCGAGGGCAGGAGCGATGCAGCTGCACAGATGATGGGTTCAAACCTGCCACACAAGCTGTCTGCAGCAGCAGCACACCCTGGGGCTTATTTCACTGAATGCTGGATGCTATGAATTCAAAGGTCCTGCTATTGTCATGTTTGCAGCACGTGTCCTGCTAACCCTCCTCACCCATTTTCCACTCAGTTTTCTCCTGAAACTCTCGCTGAAGTGAGGTCTCATACATTTTGCAAAAAAGACAAGCTCAGCAGAGCATTCCAACACTGATGTACTGGGCCTGTGGAGAGAAAGTCCTGTCTGGGGGAAATTTCTGAATAGAAAAATGACTTTATAAACCTGATTTCACACTCTGCCAAATGGATGGCCTTGGCAAGACCACTGTGAAAAGAAACAAAACCTCAAAATAACATTTGAAGAGGTCACTTGATAGACTCTCTTCAGAGGGGAATTTCTCAAGACCCATCTGGCAGCACTTCACATCTGTGGGTTCAACAGATTTTATTCTTTTTTTAGTCAAAACAAACAGTTCAAAACCTCAATAGGAAATTTGCATAGATGAACAGTGTGCCACCCCAATGCTCTCCTCTCTGCCTTGGTGAAGATTTCAGCTCAGACAAGAACACAGTGGATGGGAGTTTGTGTTCTGTCTAATGGCAAAAGCCACTCACACCCCATTAGGTTTAAAGCTAAACCTTGTTGGGTTAGTAGTTTAATCACTGTTAAAAGGCATGTAAAGAACCATTTTTCTGGTACACATGGGGCAATTTGTACCTTTTTCTTCTCTACAATACTGTGCTTTCCTTTACAAAGAAATGGATGGGGCTCTGAGCAATCTGGTCTAGTGTTCCTGCCCAAGGCAGGGGGGTGGATCTGGATGGTCTTTAAGGTCCCTTCTAACCCAAACCACTCTGTGATTCTGTGAAAACCATGGGGGTTTGCAGTGAGTTATCCTCACTTCTTTGAGCTCAAGGGAACCACATCTCTAGGTCAGAGATACCAAAACTAGGTGAGGAGGGGAGAGAGAATAAAATCAGCTGTGACTTACATTGCTCAGCTCAAGGTGGTCAGATTTGGCCAATGGAAGAGGTAGCTTTGAGCTGCAGTCTCAGATTAAGGCCTTGGACCCAGCTCTGCTTTCCTGTTAAACTGAGGGACCAGAGCTGTAGAAGTCAGCAAACCACTTGGATAAATCCCCTAAATTCCCCCAGGTCTTCAACACTTGAGTGGCCCAACAATAGTGAGAGTTTAAGGTCTTATCATAAGTACATTTTTAATCCAGCTTTTTCCCATTGTCATGTCAAACCAAAAATAAACCTACCAGTTTCTCCGAGCTGTGATCAAGTATTCTGTAAGCTGCCAGTGTATCTTGGTAATGAAAATCAAAGCCAAGCATCATATGTGAAACAACAACTTTTGTTCAGTGTTTTCTAAGATAATCAAGCACATTTCAGCAGGTTGGTGTTGAACAAGTCTAGTAATAGAGTTTAATATATCAAAAGCAACTGAGACATGCAGGGTGTTAAATTGTAATGAAAGTCAAAGCAACACACAGTTCCAACTTCTGTGGGAAGTTTCAGAAACCACCTCCCAGATGTTGACTCTGTTTAGAGGTGAAGTTAAAAAATCTGGGTTCTGTCCAGAAATATTTGAAGTGTCTTGCCTGGAAGGCCAACATTTTGTGACACTGGCTTCTCGTCCTCTCAAGGAAGACTCTTCCCCTCTCCTGTTCACTGTACCAGGACTTTCCCACAAGGCAGTATGAACAGACCTAAAGATTCCTTTTCCAACCTGTCCAAACAATTTCTAACAAAGACACAGATAACATTTGCTGGTTTATCCCAGATTTCCTTTCAAAGAGATGTCTCTTTTTTGCCTTTTTTTTTTTAATTTATTTATTTGTGTCCCACTACCTGTTTTCCTTGTCAAAGAGGAGTCAATAGTCCATAAGGAACAAAAGTGCTTTATCAAATATAATCTCTGCCCTCTGTTTGGTACAACCAGGACAAGAAATCAAAAGAAGGCATGACAGAACAGAGCTTGCAGTTTGGTTGAATCAGAAGAAACTAAAGCCCCACTGATTTCTATTTTGAGCCCTTTCTTTTGGAGTGGTTCTGTACCAGGCATTAAAATCATCTCCCATCCCTGGCTGGTGTGGCTGGAGTCGGTTGATGGTCTACCATGGTAGCTCTGTACAACTGCCAGGCTATAAAATGCCTCAGAAGTAGTCAGTCATCACCAACAACTCACAGGAAATGCCCCATGGGTGTTTTCTCTATGTCCTGAGCCCAACAGGGCCTAAATCACAACTCCAGGGAGTTGGGCTCAATGATCCTTGTGCATCCCTTCCCACTTGACATGTTCTATGATTCTATGATACAACATCTGTAGGAGAAGTCACCAGCACCCAGTGATTCAGTAACTGGTCTCCATCATTTTGTGACAGTTCACTGGGGCCAGTTCCACACCTCCAGCACTGAGATTTCTGTTAGGTACCAGGGGTGATCGTTAGTTGAAGAGTGACATGGGATGGGCAAAGCCCAGAAAGCAGAATTGAGCCAAGTGACTCTTCTACTTTGTCATCATAAAGAGACAAGTCCTGCTCTCCTGATGAACTGTGGTGTGAAAGGGGCCACAAGGTCATCAACAGCAAAGGTTGCACAGGATGATAGGTTGGTTCCAGGTTTGTGCACATCTGGTGATGTGACAGCAGGGAAAGCCCTTCAACTTGTCCCAGAGCCCTGTGATTTCTGGTACTAAAGACTCTGGAGCAACATGCTGTATCACATAGTTAAAGGGCTATTAGAGGTGGAACCACATGGGAGAAAAGCTCATGCCACCTATCCTGAACTGAGAAATTTCTTGTTTCTCCAGCTTGTTAAAAAAGTTGTTTTAGAGTTAAGACTCCTCAGGTTAGACCTTCTTGTGTTCTCCATTTGCATTACCTGAAGATTCTGGGTACAGATCAGTGTGCCAACAGGTCTGGCAGTGAAAAGAAATAAAATAAAAGATAAAACAAGAAGCCTTGCTGCCTACAGCTGCTATAACCTATGAGACATCAGCTTTGTGAAAATGGTGAGGAAACGGGTAAAACTGGAATAAGAATGGGAAAAATCTGAAGGTCTCACAGAATTGGAGCAGATTGCTCTTACCTCAGCAGCCTGGAGCACTCATGACCTTGAAGTTTTCTCGTCTCTTAATGCAGGTCAGCAAACTGTTCTCCACCATAAAAAATAGGATTTGACTGTATGGAAAGAATAAGATTTTCCATTTCTGTTCATTTTCAGCACTCCAGCTGGGCACAGCCTCTGCATTCTTGACTTTGCCAGAGACTCTGCTATTTATTGGTGTTGTGACACCAAAACCAGCAAGAGAGGGCGTTTGCTGTGCCAGGCACTATGGATGCCCTAAAGCCAAAGGTGCCCCCCATTCCCCCAGGCCACAGCCACCCCAGGTAAGGCATCATCTGTTCTTATTTGATTTCAAGGAGCCAGAGTGGCTCTCTTGAGCACCTTGGTCATATTACTCAAAGTGTAGATATATTTCTAAAGTAACCACCTGGCTCCCTGAGCTTTCACTCCTTGTCCATTGAACATCCCATAGATGAGCATGTCCATTCTCCAAAAACATCCCTCTCTCTGTTCAAAACTGCTTTCTCCTCATTGGGTTCTCTGCTCAGTGCCACCAAGAGATGTGATCTCAAACCCTTGGATGTGAACATGGCAACTCTGCACTGAGAAAAGGATGAAATGCAGTACGGTTTTGCCTAAGTTTAACATATTTTGGCTTCCCAGTTAACACCACATCTGGATTTATGCCAGACTGAAGTTACAATATGTGTAGACATTACTCACAAGAGGCAAGGCCAATGCTTTAAAATAACCTCAAAGTTACTGGCGGAACAAAGCCTATTTTTCCAACAAAAATGACTTTGCTAAACACATTTGTGTTACGTGAACTTGGAGACCATGCACGAGAGTCACAGAGGCCTCTCTCAAGTTTTGACTCCACGATGAATTGCATTTCCCTTCCTCCTTTGGCTTCAGTATGTGGTCTCCCTTGTGACCTGGCTGGAAAATGTGTGGTTGCTGGAGATACTGTTGGATTTCCTGGTGAAGGCCAGTCGTTTCTTCTTCTTCCTCCATGGCAGGCACACGAGTGTGAGTGTAGAGAGGAAGATCTGACGGAAGTTTGCCGACACCAGGTTGTAGAGGATGGGGTTGATTGCTGAGCTGACGTAGAAGAGGACGTTTGTCAGCATGTAGAAGTAATGGTAGAAGTTGTAAAGGAAACTGGAAGAACAGATGAAAGATAAATTCTGAGTGTGGAGAGCTGAAAAAATTCAAAGGCACAAGGTAAAATGTGCACACGCGAGAAAAACATGAGCTGCTTTTCAGCCAACCTTTCTAGGCTGGGCACATGAGCTTATCAGTGGTGTATAAGCCACTTAAAGCATCTATATCTTGAACTGGAACTGGTCAAGCATAGATCAAATGTGGCTATGAAGATATTACCCCAATCACTACTAGTTAAAAACTTACTGCCCTGGGGGCAGAGATGATATTTTCCTCATGTGTTCAATTTGTCTTTGAAAATAGACATTCTGGAAACTGAGCAGCCGGATGGAAATTTGTTTCTGTGTCACACATATACATTAGCCTGACTTTTTTGGCTGCAGTTCTGGTCTACAGAGCTTTTAGAAAAGCCAAACCCCCATGACAGATGCAGCTCTGTCCTCCCCCCACCCAGCAGTGAAAGCAACATCAGCTCATTTGGTGGGTCCCTGGATTGGGATTTTTCTGTAACCTGGGATAGCAATCCCTGTTCTGGGGGCAAGTTGATGATAGCATGTTTTTGAAACACATCCTGACCACCACAATATAATGTTTTCAACCAGAACGGATTGAAAATGCTTAATTACTTTTTTTTACTTTTGAAAATATCTTTCCTTGGGACAACTGAGATCAACAGCCCTGAGCTGGTAAAGCATTTACAAACAGCATGGGTCTCATTTTCAGGAAGATGTTGCTCAGAGTCATTTGTCTTGGTGGAAATTGCAGACCTCTGTGCTAGCCTGAGCAGTGTCTAACAGAAGATAAATAGACATGTACTGGACTTCATCACCCATCCCTCCACATCCCCTTGGCACTGCCAAGGACTACATGGCCCATCCAGCTCTTACAAGCAGAGTTTCTTCATGTAGTTGTGAAGAATTAATATAGGAAAAATTTCTGTTCTTCAGGGGCAAGGCACATGCATTTTTAAATGAATATATCAAGCTGCTGCAAACTCTCAGTTAACCACCAGACTGATAGTGCACCGTTCATAACATGCCTGCAAATTCAACGTTTTCCTAAAATTGCCCTTGGCTTTTAAAAAGAGAAAAAAATAAGATGGGAATGCAACCAGGATGCATAAATTCACACTAACTGCAGACAGACTTCTCTACCCCTCTTGCTCAAAGCAAATGCAGTCATTACATAATTGAACGCTGCTTTAAGTGCTTTTCATATAGGAAAGCAAAGGAGAGACAACAGTTTGTCCCAGTATGGGCTTAGAGCTCTGTTTTCATCACTGAAGATAGATTTTGGATTTTACTATGGATGGATGTACAGTTCCATTCAGTAGACTGCTATATCCTAAATAACTATTTTTTGTTTTGGGAGTTTGTGAAATTTTGATGTCTCATAGTTGCTCTGCTTTTTAGTATTACAGATTATTTTTCCTTTTCCTGTTCACTGCAGGAAACAGACCCGATCCCAGGGAGAACAGGGACACACATGACACACAAGTGCATGCCATGGCATCTCAGGCTCCCCAGACAACATTAGTGTTAAAGTGCATATTTAGAAAGAATAACCAGTTTGGTTGTTGGTTTGCTGAGGAACCTGGCCTGGTGCTGCAGAAAGGGAGCTTCTGGAGTGTCCTTGCACATCTGTGAACAGCACACATGTGTTCAGCACAGGTGTGCACATATCCCAGAATTCTCTGACAATCTGGGCATTTTCTAATCAGCAGCATCTGCTGGTATTTAATTCTGATCCACTCCCTGCAAAACACAGTAAATAACCTGCCCCAGCCTCAGCAAGCAGCACAGTTATTCCTCCACCTGTGTGATCTCTCCTGTCACTGAGGAAATGTGGCCTCGTGGAGCTAAATCATGTGTTGATGGGAGGTGATCCATCTTAGGGCTGGGGATCGATATCTCCGGCACAGAGACAGAAATCCACTTGGGATGTATAAAACTCCCTGTCCAAATGTCACTTCATCAAGGGCTGTCAGAGGTGAACACCCCCGGCTGTGTCCAGCAGGGGTGAGCCTGTGGTTGCAGCCCACAGGAGGAGGAGGGGCTGATGATGAATTTTGGTTCAAGCTAATGATTCCTTCAGCCGTGTCTGGGGGATTGATGTGGTAAAACTAAGAGTCTTAATCTGGCTGGTAAACACTGAGAAATCCAAAAGAAAAAAAAACCAAAACAGCAATGAGGGGTTTGAGGCTTTAACCCCTGGCATGGAGAACACCTTTGCTCCCAGATCCCCTCCTCCACCTCCACATCCGTGGGTGCCCCAGCAGCTCCAGCTCCAGCCTGACCCTCCCAACCCCGTCCTGGCATGGGGGGACCTTGTCCCCCACGTTGTGACTCACTCTGTCCAGTGGCTGGAGGGGACGTAGCAGAACATGAGGCGCCGTATGTGGTAAGGGAGCCAGCAGACCACGAAGGCGATCACCACAGCACCTGCAAGGTATGGAAAAAAAGCCCATTGCTTTGTGAGCAATTTATCATCAGGGTGAAAAAGGGCCCTGTCCGCGTGGGTTTTATTGCTGTAAACTGTTTTCCTAAAGCCCCAGTTGTTCTCCTGTTGCCGCTGTGCAAAGAATTTCATAACCCCGAGGGACAATCAGCCTGCAAAATCAAGCATAACAGGAGTAATAGAAAATAGCAAAAGCACTGGGGCAGCGGTGTGGTAAATGATGGAAGGTGCAGATGAAGGACTGGTTCAGATGCCTGGCTCAGGCACCAGCTTAAATGATACCCTATTCACGTCTGTCCCCTGTGTTTCATGCCCTTGTAGCACTGGCTATCTTGTCCAAAGTACTCATAGAGACAGTTAGTGTGTGTTTTTCATCCAGGTAGACAGAGAGCCAGGGACATGATAATCCCATTAGCTTGTTACATGGAGCCACTGGCTGCAGTCCCCACGGTGCTGAGGATCATTAAACAGCCTCAGGAGCTCTTTCTGGTGGCAGGGCTCGTCCTTTTGTTCTATGTTTGTGCAATACCTGAGATTACAACATGTTTTGGGTCTGGATTTTGCCATAATAAAATGATTCATTAAAAGGTAAGCAGAGAAAGACACTGGTTTTTTATCTTTCCAGATTCTAGCTGAGGGATGTCAAAGAATGCAAACAAAATGCAACAAATCTGAAGGGTAAAAGTGCTGTTGATAGAGTGTTTTTGTCAGTCTGGATTAAAAAGGAGACATATCATACAATCAAGAGAAAGATTTGTTTCCTTTTTTAATATACACTCCAACCTCTGTATGGAACAACAGGATCCTGGCTGAATCCTAGCAGGAAATAAAGAAATTTCAGTTAAAACATAACACAATAAAAGGCAAGAAGAAAATATAATAATTAAGGTAATTTTTTATCCCAAATTTGCTCTACGGACAACAAGGACTGCATAACTCTTGTCCTCTTTGTGACCTGTAATGGCCTGGGAAGCAGCAAAGCTCTCCTGCAGAGTGAGGTACCACGAGTGCAATGTGGATTTGGCACGTGGAGCCAAAGGCTGCTTTTCCTTCTGCCTTGGGATTCAAAATATTTATGTGGATATGTCAGCAACCCAGACTCTGTCATCCCTCAGGGACTGTGCTGTAGCTCATGGAGAAGGTGTACAGAAGGTGTGCTTCCCTCAAAGAGTGCAGTCCAGGAGGAACAAGCCAGGCTGTGGTCACATCTCCCCATCAGCCAAGAGACAAAGGGGAGGCTTTAGTAGCGGAGTGGGGAGGGAAGAGTCTGTGCCCTATTTTTGTGGGTGTCATCATTAGTCGAGTCACTGCCTAATTTGTACAGAAATTAAATAATTCCTGGTGCCCAGCTCCATAATCACAGCCCTACTTCAATGCCATGTGCTCCCTCTCTTATTAAACACATAACTTACAAAGGAGAGGGTTCTATTCCTTTAGCACCAGCCTGCATGATGCATGACAGCATCTTCCAAGCATGCTGCAAAAGCCATTTATTCAATAAAGATTTAGGCAACTGAAGGGACATGTTTTGGAAAGAAGGGTCTGGTTTTATTCTCTTGTCCAAGTGAATGTGTTTTTTCAAACTGAGTATTTTTGGCTGCTCTATGGCCATAGTGATCACAGATGCAATTCATCATCAGACAGCCTGCAGCCCCTCAGATGGCATCAAGTGAATGAATTTGATCTGTGTCTGATCCTTCCCTGAGGAGCTTTGATGGAACTGACTGGGAGAGGCCCTACATGATGTGTGGCACAGGAGAGGTGAGAAGATCCACTGGGAAGCTCGATGGGAGCGTGGATGCTTGCCTTGCTCTTTCACACTTCTGAGCACCTGCTTTTGACCACCTCCAGAAATTAATTTCTCTATTGGATAGACCTTTGTTTTGCCCTGGATGGAGCAGTCCCACCATGATTCTCCAGGAGGTCCCTTCCAGAGGCCACAGGAGAAGCAACACTCTCCAGCCTCTCCTCCTCCACCATCAGCCTCGGGACAACAGGAACGAGCCAACATCACAGCTCCAGCCCATCTGGTTTCCCTGCACAGGATTAGCTGCATTTTCAGGCTGTGAAAGCAGCTTCCCAAATGGCTCCAAACACAAGTTCATTCAGGCACATAATTTTTGCAAAAATCTCCATGCACTGGCACTCTCAGCTGCTCACCCCTGCGTGCAGCTCTTTAAGAACGGCAGGATACGGATTCTTTCTACAACCAGTTTTAAGAATCTCACACATCTGCCTCTTAAATTTACCAACACATTAAATGAAAGTGGTTTTGTCCTGGTTAACGATCTCTGCTTCTGTTGCTCAGGCAATGCTGTGCCAAATAATACGAAGGCAGGGATCTATAGCAGCAAAAACACATATTGAGAGAACTATCTGCTTAACCTCAGCAATTAAGTAATCTGTGGTAATTCTGTAATATCACATCCAATCACTCTGCAATTAAAATTCTATTAAACATGTAGCAAAGTGCACTGGAGACACTTAAGGTCTGATTTGGAAGTTCCCAGCTGGGTAACACACTTGCAGTTTTGTGCCACGCAGATTAGGAGAACCTGACCTGTATTTGTTGCCCTTAATCCTTATGTTTCCATATTATCATACAAGGGATCAAGCAGAATTAGGGTGGCAATCCTGCCCCCTTGGGTTCCCTCCCCAGGGAGGAATGTGAAATGTGGGAATGTGTTAGCTTTAATCTAATACAGAATAAAAGTGTCCTTTTCTCCCACATACCTGGGGCCTTTTGCTGCTGTTTTGTTCCTCCCTGAGCGTATACCTATCAATATGGAAGAGCTGTAAGACAAATGCTGGGCAAAGTGGCTGCCAAAATTAATTTTTATTATTGTTATCAGCCCCTTGGATGTGTTCTCTATCATCAAAAGCTTGACACAGGGGTTTTTTGGTGGAGTAAAATGGATCAGGTCAGCCTGCTGGAACTGAGCACTGCAGGGGGAGAATTCAACCCCGTGTGTGATGAGGTGACTGTCTAGGATGGTGTTTGTGAGGTCGGAGATCTCCTGCCTTTATTTTTTGAACTAAAAAAAAACCAAGACCCATCCCTCACTGCTAGTTAATTCAATGAGGTTTTAATAGGAGCAGAGCTGCTCCATGAACTTCTGATACTTCCCATATTTGAGCAAATGAGGTGCCAAACCTCAGAGCTGGGGAGTGGAGAGAGGGCCCCAGGAAGGTGACTCTAGTGTGCTGTGGGTGCCAGGGAATGATCCTTCCACCAATATATTTTCATTTCCCTTCTAAATCAAACTATCAATTCAAATGTGTATTAAACCCTGGATTATTGCATCCTGTGTCTATTTTGCCTTATAATTCTCTGCCTGTTTGAACTGCATCCCAAGGAAGAAGGGGAGAGGAAGGAGGAGCAGCAAGGGACAAGCTCTGGCTTGTTTATCCTGCAGGAAGTCCTGCAGAAGGAACCATCAATTATGAGTGACATCTTCTTCATTGAGCAAAAGAAAATTTAAACTGTGCCAGTTTTGATTTTCAGACTAAACTGGATGTGGAAGTAATCCTGGAAGTTAAATTGTATTAGTTCACACTGAGTATTTTATTTTACCCTGTGTGTATCCTGGGAGACAGCCCTTCTCCAGGACCAATGTCTCAGAACACCCACGCTGGGTCAGCATGAGCAGGGGGCAATTTATCATGTGTAAGAAAACCACAGCAAGTGCTTGGTGGATGGTTTGTCTGAGCACAGGAGTGATGCTCAGGAGGGATTTTCATCCCCCTGTCCCTTCTCTGGGGCCATCTGAGGCTCGGAGTGACTCAGAGCACTGGGACACTGGTGGGTACGGTGCCGCTCCTGCTGACTCACACGGGACCCCAGGGATCTGCTGCAGTACAAAAAAGCACTTGGCTGGTGTTTTCCTCCTCACTTCATCTCTTCTATCCCCTCTGGGTTGTGCTGAGTCACAGTCCTGTGCCTCCACGGTGGCCCTCAGTGAGGGTATCCCTCTGTCCCCTTCTCCTGTCTCTCCAGGAGAGGCAGAAAACAGTTGCTGCTCCTTCTTACAACCAGCTCTGCTGTTCCTAAGGCCTCGAGAGAAGTTCAGATCCATCTTTCTTTGATGGTTTTGTTTAGATTATTTCGGCCAATTTACTTATTTTTCTCTGCATTTCACAGGGAGCTGAGACACACAGGGATGGGGAACAGCACCGTGGAATTCCTGGGCAAGGGCAGGAGCTGTTTTGGGATGTACTGACCCAGCTGAACAACAGCTCTCAGCCTTTTCTGTCTTTCAGCTCATCAGGGCCATGTGCCTCCAACACTGCCCAAGGGACACACACACACCAGCTGGTACTAATAAGGTGTATGACAGGTTATGGAGGCTCATGTCAGGGTAATCCTGATTTTTGGAGAAACAATCCTTTTATACTCCAAGCTCCCAGTTTTTTTATACTTATTTAGTCAATGCCATTACAAGAGAACCTCCCTCAAAGTGCTGTTTGATTTGAGAGGTGGTTAAAACTGGGTCACGTGTAGACACAGCTGGCACTGCCAAGTTAAACCTCAAGGCACTGTTTATGTTAACATGATGTTCTTCTACCTGACAGGCTGTAGGCAATATTTATATCAGGGCCCCAAAGCGGGGACTGCAGAGGCTGCAAGGGTAGGTATGAGCCCAGTAAAATTAAAACCAATTATGTTGGTATTTGGGTCATCAGGCTCTGAAATAAAGGATTTCCATAAAAGTTGATATTATTGGCAGAGATTGGGAATCACCAGAATGCACCATGAGTGCTCAGGAGAGCAAAGAAAAAGAATCTGGAAATAGCAATGAGCCTGGGGAACCCTCAGCTCCTTTAGACACCACTGAAAACACACATCATTTGTTGGATACAATCCCCCAGCGCTTTGGAATATATTATTGATAAGTGTAAACATTAGATTTGATTCTTTAATTTCCATTTCCAGCATATTTCCTACTTTTTTTAATTCTGTTGGTGGATTGTCTCTTTTTTGGAT